ATTGACCAACCTGGTATGAGAGACTCTGTGAGTGTCGCGCGGACAACCCCAGTAAAGCTCAATGGGTCTCCGAGGTACACAAACCGCCACACCACGGTAAGGTCCAGTCTCTTCGTGACGGAGCTTCATCATTATTCATTTTCGAAACGTTACTCTCATGAAAGTCCTTTCCAGAGTCCTGAAGATTACTTCAGATTTCTCTTGTCTATATGAAATATTATCGGTCCCGAAACACTCCCAGTTGGGTCACATCATGCAGACCGATATTGCTCTTCATTGAGGGTTAAACAGAGTATCTGAATACCCACTGTCTCGAAGTCCATTTACGACTTCGATCTGGAATGCTGTTCGGACAACTTCTTCTGTGCACTGGCTTCTAGAACCTTCATGAACATACTTGGGGATATTGATGATCCTTTTGGTCTCAAGTGTAAACCACGGAGTAAAACAAAATGGGTGCGGTACAGGCATGCTTATATACCTTCCACTGTTTTATCTACAGTATGTGTGTGATGCCTTCTAGTGACAACTTCTTGGTTACTTCTAAAGAATCCCATTCCGGTATCTGTGGGTCCTCCGTCTCTAATGAAGCTTTTGAAACACATATTCAACACTGGGGATTATTTCTCCTGCTCTTATGACGCTTTTTTGCACTCCGAAATTTATGCCCATTTCTAAAGACAACGTTCTTCCGCACTTTATAAATTTACTATACTATAACAACTATTGGGCGGTCTACTTAGGCATAATGAAAGAATGAGTCGTGGAAAGTAACCGTATAAGTCCATCTTCGCGCTGTTGTCCTTAGACACCCCTCCCATTTGTCGCTTCGGCGTTGAATGCTTAGAAATCTGCGCAACATAGCGTGATCTGAAGGTCGTTGAGCCAACATGTGTAGTGATGGACAGTAGATAAACGCTGAGTGATTAAGTGAATCCCCTGTTTTGGAAATGACTTAGTCGCCCAGGAAGCTGTTCTGGCAGAAGCGAGACCCATCTATTGGTTTAATCAGATACGTGGCGATCATGCTGTGCTTCAGCGTTTGTTGTTGAGTACAGATCGTCTCCAACGCTGCCACTCGAATGCGTTTACTTGATGCATTGATCTGACCATATGACTGGCTGACCAATGAGCGCACATGGTAAACAACCTGGCGTTCAATCGTACATCAGTCGCTCGATAAGTGAAGTACATATTGATCAGATGGAGCAAATGACCGATTCAGTGTATCAGATGGTTCTGGCAACACAATGTTTCTAAAACCACGTGCCATAGGTAGTACTATTCTATCATTAATCGGAATGTGGTGAGAGCACTCTGGCCTCAGAACGTTCACCAGGGCAGCTGATACGGACGCAGAAGGTCAACTATCCAACTGAACAAAACACACCCTTGACTGTACAAACCTTGATCTCAAACACGCCGAACACTCGAGCGACACCAAACTAGGAGTTGGATTGGGCGAAAGAGATCATCGCGTTTGCTAGAAAACGTCTGTCTAGGATGAAAAGCACCGAAAATTGAAGTAAATTTTCAAAGGAACCTTAACAAACATAGACCACAAGCATGCGGTAATCGACTTTCACTAGTAACCAACGCCTCGAGTCAATCCTGCAAGAACACACAGCACGCACTCACTTCCAATGTTGATACAAGGCGATGATATTCAACCAAGTTTTCGTGTAGTCCGGATGCCAAACTTTGAGACATTGGCCCAGCCAGCCGATCGTGTTGAATACGAGTGATGAATTGTCGCACGCGATCATGCAGCCATCCACAATCGGAAATACGCATAATCGAGTCACAATCACCGGGATGAATGTACACATTGTTGGAGATCTAGGGCAACGGATGAGATGGAACTGGATGAACGCAGGGCTAAGGAATTGGAGTCAATTTTGATGTTCTCAATTTTGTTAGTTCAAAAAACAGCGAGTAAGAACATTCGATCTTTTATTTATATACGCAACAGGCAGATCGGTCGATGGAAAAAACGAATATCACAACACCACCCAACCCTTGAAGAAATACCCTGAATGACAGCAGAAAAAACTCCTAAAAGGGGGGTATTCCCTAGTGGGGGGGACGGCGGTAACGAAATCGCAGCTGAACTGGGTGTTTCAAAGAAAATTTATGGTTGCGTCTGAGAAATTTCCGCGTCAGCACGAGTAAAAAATTTGCCTGATCTGATTGTAAATCATCAAATGGATTAAACGGGAGCGATTCACCAACATTCAGGTTCAAAGTTCACACCTGAATAGTACGCGGTCGCCGACTTTACCCACGTTATCCAAATGACGATTCCCAAGCAGGACAAAGCGCACAGCTGGGCATGATTACCTGGAACTAGTACTAATCAACGTCAGTCTGTTCGTCCATTCGTAACCACTGACAACCAGTTTTGCCAGGTCACGGTATCCAACCAGTCCTCCGATTGTCCATTCTTTACTTTCGGTATTCCCAAAATAGTTTCGTACTTATGAGGCTGCAGAAGTAGAAGTCCGATTTTCTGTATTTCCGTTTCAAACACGTGTTTTCTTAGTCTTTCATATGTTTAACGTGTTTTTTTGTTGCCATCTAAGTGTGTAGGTACTTTTCGCCTCCCGTTCGAGTCAGACAAAACGTTCACCGCAGCAGACCTTGATCGAACCAAATGGCTACACCCAGATGGTCGCGTGGATTAGACGCTCTGCCATTTGCAACTATATTCAATCCTTGAGGCAGCAAGTATACTTTCAAGATAACATTCTTGACAGCAAGGGATGATCTGGATATTTCAGTTTGAAAAAATCAGTTTCCAATACAAATCAGTTCCAACACTCAATGGTTTGGTGAAAATCAGCTAGCGGCACAGCAAGAGAGGGAACACAAATTCATTTTGGGGTTGAAAATTAAATTACATCAGTTCAGCGCTTGCTCAATTCGGTCCTTTCAGAAAACGTGGTAATTGTTTTCCTTATTATTGGTTAGGTTTTTTCGAAAATCAATAAGTACCCGACCGACATTTTGTAAATCCAAACGGAGCCTCAGTTCAACAAACACTACCATAACTGAGACGAGAATGAAGTGTTCACCGTCGAAAGTTTCTCAAACTGCGGGACTGTATTTTAGATCGTGGCCGTTTCGGAGTCGGGGTGCGGACTCAGTGAACTATCTTCAGAAGTTCCATCAAGAAGTACTTTTCACATTTTCAACCAAGAGAATGAGGAGTGACAGGGATGCCCAATAAAGTCATGCTACAAATGATCGAGGTGGAACAAGTAAAGAGACAAAATAAGCTGTATTAAACTTGAAGAAACACCTTCAAAAAATGTACTTCCTTGTGAAAGGCTGACCAATAAATAACGCATTGCATATTTACTGCATTAGAATTGTGAAACTTCCGTTGTACCTCTCCGACCAATTTCGTGAGTGAACAAAATTTCCTACACCCTTGGATGTAAATGCTTCAGATAATTAATAACATTGCGTACTTACATCATAAGGAACTGCTGGCTTTCAATTGAGCTATACTTGAGCAAGAAATACTAAACACTATAAGTAATCAAAAACACGCATTGTTATGCAATTAGGATTACTAGGAAATCGAGAAATATCGAGTTACTACTATGTAATTCACCCTGTCTTCCAACTGTGTCAATCTCAGTCGGTGTTTGAACTAATAAACATTACACTAAACGATGTTGTGCCCGCATCCAAGACTAAATTGTCGGCTACGTGCAGTGAGGCAAAAGGAGTTCACTAATGTGGCGGCTAAATGTGTCAACCGCATTTACGACACGGGTGCTTTGAAGTAATAATCGAGTAGTAATTTCGAGTCTGTGGCATAGAACAGTTCTATTGTGATACCTTATTTCTGTTAGGTTCTGGATGGGTGGGTGGTTTTCTGGAGGAAAAAATGCAAATGAAAAAACTCGGTGCCCCCAAAAAGGTCTCTTCGACCGAGTGACTTTCATTCTCAGGTTTCTTCCAGGGGGCGTAGTGGACCACCAACGCAACAAGCAAGAAAAATCCAAAAACTGGACTCACCCAAAATGCATCTGTGGTCGGATCTGACTTGATTAGGGTGCCACTGACGCCATTCAGCACAAATATTAGCTCCCGCAGAATGTCAGCCTCAGGCACGGTCGGTTGAACAGTTGCAACAGGAGCATCTGCGAAAGGATGAAAGCAAGACTCAGGAAATAAACAGATAAGAGCATCAGGAGGGTATGTACTCAAAATTCGGTGAGATCGCGACTGGGAAACGCACCTCTGGGAACACGCGAAAGACGCGGACTACGAGAATGCATTCAACAGGAAATAAACTACAATATGTTTCGCAAGAGTAGCGACAATACGCAACCACATGACCTTCCAAGTGACAAATCACTGAGTTGATACAGCGTTCAATAACAAAAACTCATACAAACAACCCTTCTAGCCTAACGCACTCACCCACCACCGTGCATCAGCGTTGCACATACCGTAGAAAGTGTGAAGAAAAAGACGAATAAGAAGAAAAGACCATCCAAACAAATGTGTTATTGCTAGTACAAATGCACATTGAAAAGAGTGTGGAAAAATATGCCTGTCCTGATCAAATGCACATAGAACGCTTGGGTGCAAAATGGCGATTGGATGGATGACAGGTGTTAATCAGCTGAGTTGGTTGTTAGCATCTTTTATCGATTTTACGCACCACAAAATGTGTTCACCAATGTGGTAAATGGTTAGAATGCGAGTACAGCTGCTTTCGCGTGGCGGACACGACAGTCAATCGGTCGGTGAGATCGCACAACAACGTACCGACGAAGTAGCTATAATATCAGGGGGGTAAATACGATAAGGATATCTGCCGACGTGTAATAACGAGTCTTCTTGTGTGAATTCCTAAAGGATTAAACAAATTAGCACTGTTCATACTGAGTTCAAAGGCTACGTCCTTGCTTTACACTGATTATCCTTGACACGGTACGAATGCAAGACCCACTTGTAAGAATCAAAAGGGTTTGACTACAGAGAAAAGAAAAAATCTCAAAGGATGCGACAATAAATTTATTGTTAGACATTACTCTGAGCTTCGAGTGGGAGATTGTGACAGGTTCCACTAGTTTTAACCCATTTTTCAAAGCAGGTGAATAAAATCTGAAAGTGGATTTCATGAGTCCATAGGACATAGTTCGAGAGTCATCTGTTAAGTGGAGTTGACATCATAAGAACAGTGTTCGTTAGGATGGTGAAGAAGCATTATTCAGTCAGTTCGGATGGCGAAGGATGATTTCCACCACAAGGACCCCCGCGGAGCAGGGGACATTTGACCACTCACGAGAGAAGCCCTGTCCTGGGGGCGGGTTGCATCAGAGGTCAGGGCTGACAGGAAACTGTGATGTTGACTATCCGGAGCAATGGCCTGTCTTTGGAAAGACGCCAAAAACTGCACCCAGTCGATCTGATGGTAGAATTCCAACCATCAGTTAACAATGGAACATCAGTATTGTATGTGTTACTGTCTAAACTAAAGCTGAGTGCTCTTTTGCAAGAATTCCTTGAAATTCCGTGTATTTCTCACATTCCTTCACTTTTTTTCTCACGATTGGACTTTCGAGACCACGGATATTTTTGAATCCCTCATGGGGTCGTCATCAAGATTCCCAGTAAAACTCTGGATATCCCTCTGAGTTAGACAGGCGACGTTAAATAGCCCCACGAAGCGAGAAGACACCATTTAAGAGATGCTTGGTTGCCAAATGACACTGTTTTCCTACCATAAGCCTCACGCTTTCTTAGTCTGACTAGTAAACTTGTAGGTGAATGGGGTCGAATCGCTGCCACTATCACAGCACACTATCGTGTTTTGACAAATCATGAAGAAAGACTACAAGCTGAAAACTAGCCACGTCTCGGATTGATGTATTATGTACCACGCATTGTTCGGTGGTCGTATCAGGGCTTATTTGCATGGCGGACCATCAACCGGACCGAAATGCTATACCCGGGTTTGCAAGTGTTCATTTTCGGAGGCCGGAAAAAATTTATAGGTTTGGTCTGAGGTTTGTTTTTTGCTGGTCGTTGTGGACGGAGACATCGGCTTGTTAGAATAACGCGGAAAGGATAAATGGTCTGTAATCACATCTGCATGTAGGAAACAACGATAGGAGGAATCGCCATTTTTCTCAGCTTAGTCAGTCACCACCTACGTTGAAGGAAGAAGGTACGAAACCCGAGAATATGTTTGTCCCACCTCCGAACGACAAACTACTCGAATGATGGCAATTAACCCATCAATAATGGACAGTAGTAAATATCTGCGGGCTGTTACATCCAACAAAAATAATTTACTTGCTAAATAGAATCAATTTATTTACCTTCAGAGGATTGGAACTCGGTGAAATACAGAGACCCTTGCAATAGATTGTTGTAAATAAGGAAACTTAAACATGGAGACCTGAAAACGGTGTCTCCGTTTGCATGCCAGAAGCACTTCGATGTCTGACATGCCTCTCCAGAAGGCAGCGGAGTTAATTGAAAAGAATGTCAATTTGACGGTTGTCAATAGCGGGACCGCAATTATCGGACCTCATCAAAACATCTGCAGTTGTGAGGTGAACAAAGTGTCCGCCGCCCCACAAAGTCGCCGTAAGGAACAACTCTACGCTTTATGATGGGTAAAATACGGTTAAGATCAATATATTTCTTGATGGTAAGCACAGGTCACGTCGAACGATATGGAGAAATCCTCGATACAGCTGCTCCGGTATTTAGTAGAGCCATCAGTTTATCGAAAGCAGTATCATCATACATATGGTGATATGTCATATGTCACTGGACAATGCAAATGTGATGCGGAGTGGATTTTAACCGTTCAGGAGTTATTGGACCGTGTAAACCTCTGCTTATTGCTTTAAAAAATCAGTAGGTTTATCTTTTTCGGGAAAATTTAGTAACCATCGGTAGATTTATTGCTGGACAAGGTTTCGCTTTTGACACTAAAGCTTCGGAGACTGCTGAACTTGGTCAACATTAGAAGAGCTTTCCAGAAGGGAAAACGCTACGCTCAGTTTTGGTGCAATGGGAAGATCACCGCCCGGTTGAAAGAACTAGGGACTGTGCGTATAAAACTGACTACAACAACACTGCTGAAGTTTGAACGTGCGAGGAGAACGTATTACCACTACTCCACCGAAGCACGCTGGATGCACCCGAATCATCATATCTGAAAAAGTAACCCTGTATGTAGTGAGGCCTCCAACGGTGAGTAATATGAAGACAAATATAAAAACAACGCAACTACTGAGTACTAACAAAGCAAAGTTATCTGGCAGTCTACAAGTGTCCATGAAGCTACGAAAATGGAAAAGCCGAGGCACATCAATAGATTGACATAACTACGACAGTCATAGAGCGATCACTCTTAAGCATGGGGGCGAGATGGTCCAAATGGTCGAACCCGACCTCAGCCTCTCGACTTCCCCTGTCTAGGTTTGGGCAACCTGACAGTATCCCAGCCCTCGTGCATCCTTCGGGTGGCATGGCAGTTACGCACCGAAAGGGTGCTACAGCTGAACGATACGATACTAATATACTCTTAAGTGCCTTAGACCAAACAATTCAGGTGCGTAAAATGAAAGCTGATAAGTTAGTGGTAACGCGCTCAGTTTGTACAGCAGGTGACCAGAGCCCACATCTCGAGACAGTCAAGGGAATCATTGTTGACGAGAGCACATAAGACCGAGACTCGAGTCCAGTGTTTCGCCACAACAATCGCACCAGGATATGCGAATGAGGGGAAAGTGAATGATGTGGTCTCTCGCTAAACAGTGACGCTTCTTGGAGAGCTAACTGATGCTCCATGGGCATGCAGATATTCAGGAGTTGTAGTGACACCTCGAGGCATATACGAAAACTTTGGCGTTTACCACGCAAAGCTGTCGAAACCAAGTATTGTAGAATGTCTACAAAACCAAATTCCGCAGTTGTAGGTAAGTTACCGGAAAGCAACAAAAGTGATGAGGGCTCACATGAGGACAAGCTCAGTCGGTTACACTAAACGGTCTGTTAAAACGAACGTAGAGGTATGACGATTACGTGAAAAGTTCAACTTATCTATCCCTATATCCGTTCTCTCCTTGTATCGGGTACGCAGTGTTCAGTTCAGCCCAATAATATATGAACGTCATACTGGCGACGGAAAATACTATCGTCACGCGTGAAACAACGCTCGTCACCAGGACCAGCGGTATTAACCGTCAAGGGTGAAAACAATGTCAAATTCACATAATCTAACAGAACAAGAACTTAACCATCAAAGGCTTTTCGCACTAAAAGGAGAAAGTGACGCATGCAAAACAGCATAAACATGGCTTAAACTGCTGACGAGCCAGCATGGAAAAAAGTAACCAGACACCTTCAATCGTTTTAAAGACCTTACTCTTCTGTGTCACAGCGGTTCGGGAACTCGAGCGAGAGATGAGCCGACTAGTCGTCGCTCCAGATGAGGCCCGGCGCCTACTTGCTTCCACTGCGGGCTGACCCCATAGACTAGCCAGTGAGGGGAACGTAGCTTGCCCGGAATGCGTCGCAATACCATTGCTAAACTGTGTGCTGGAGGATGAGCGCCTCACCTGTGACAGCTGATTGGTTGCTCTGTAATCCGGAAGGAAAATGGAATGCAGTCTTTTTGGCGTAAAGCACGTTAAACTAAGAGTGCCATCGTAAACGATATACTTCAGATCTGCCGCACAGGAACGACGGTAGCCATTATGACCAGGTTTTACAATAGCTGATGAATCTTCGATGAAAGTGAGGTGACAACTAGGTATAACAATCTGCCAAGTGACGACTTTTTGCCCATGCCTGTCGCAGTAGGCGAGTAACCTGATATATGTGCTCTAGTTCACATATTTTGAGGCGTTTCCATAAGCATGATCAACAGTCACAGGAATACACAACAAAGGGTATGGAGGGATATGACTCGGGCATATGGGTAACGACGGGACGTAGACGAAAAGTAGCGTTGTACAGAAGCTAGTAATAAATTCACACCTCAAATGTTCAAGGGAGATGAAGACCAAAACGAAACGAGTAACAGGCTGATATGGGGACAAGAGGATTACAGTCTACTTCATACAACATGACATGTGAATAGACCTCGTCTCTAAAATTCATCTTTCAAAAAACTACGATACTGGAGAAGAGAATATCTTTCCAACGCCAAATCCACCTTTTTTCTTTATGAATACTTGCCGGACTATGAATTATGAATAGCAGGTGAATAAACCCAACTAGATAGAACAATGTTCGAAGGCCCACAAGCCACACAGAACAGATTAAATTTTAGCTCTAGACCGAGACTTGGCGGAACAAAACCGATATTGAACTCTGCCGTCAGTAGTCAAACTGCAGTCGGGACTCAGGCTTTTCACCTAATTAAATACTGAAAATCCCGTGATACGGCAATTCTAATGAACGGTAAACACCCCTATTCCAGGAAATTTGGGACTGGATCTGGCTGGCAGGGGATGCTTACTGCGCTCTCATCGCAGGGTGACGCCTTTCCAAAGGCAGTTTTCTTTTGGAAATCGATATACATGGAAGTTTATGTAGTTCGTCGCCCAAGCCAATAGAAACAGCTTGAACGTGACTGTTAGATAGAGAGGAATCGTGATAAAAACCAGGCTCGTTGTTCTACTACTGACACTAAAAAGTAGCTCATTACAACATACATGCTACGACACACTGTGAATATAGGGTCGTGAGTAAGCGGTCACTTGGAACAACACAATTTTCTTCGCCTATCGTATTCTGATCGTACGGCATCTCGGAAGAGACCATAGATAAATGTTCGAGAGCCTAAGTGCAGCACAGTGTAAGAGTTAGTCACTTTGCGGTGATCGAATTTGTAGCAGCCGGAACCAATGTTCCTATGGTAAACGGTTTATAGCTGATAAATTAATTGATTGATTGACAGCCAACCCAATGAGTGTGGTTTCTGAGGGTCACTGAGAAACCAAACAAAATTCTAGAAATGATAACCTGTGGGTAAACGGTTTACACTAAGGAATCCCATGTTTTTAGGAAAATAACGAAACCACTCACGTGACTGAGTGATATCCACTGGAGTGCGAATCATTGACCAAACCAGCATCTTGCATCCGATGGTGTGACGAGGAAAACATATCACTAGATGTCTTTAAACGTAGCAGCTGGTAGAAGAATTGTAAAAGACCTGGAATGCGCTTCAGTGATGACTGCGGAAGGGGATTGAGTTGAGAGAAAAACACAGCACGGACCTGTGTTCGAAGTCTACTGACGAGATGTTTTAGGCGGACCGACTTGGATGCGGCATTTAGATCTATCACTGTGGCTTTAAGTGAGGCAAGAAAGGAAGGTTTGCCTACATAAAGCGTACAAATTCTCCTCCGCATTCAGTGCGAGATGGTACTCATTAACACTACACCGATGCAAGTCATTAGGGTTGAAAATCATGTCTACCTGTCGTAGTTTTCAACATATGTACACAGATGTTCAACTGGAATATCTAAAAAAAGAAGATGCGTAAGGAAGTCTGAGCAATTACCTTTTGAAGATCCCGTACGGCGTTCAGTTCCTTTCAGTTTAGACAATAAGGCATGCAAAAGTATCCGACGCTCACTGCTTTGCATGCGTAACACAAAATATGGACTCGTAAAACAAATATTCTGAAGAAAGTAATAAAAGCCAGTCTGTTATCTAACACCATAAGTGACGATGGGGCTTCCTAATCACGCTACCAAGCTCTTTTTCCAACCAGTCAAGTTTATTGAGTTGAAAATTTTGCGGCTTGTATTGCCCCGGAAACAAATGCTTATTATTGAAGTACTTAAATTACACTGCAAGAAGTCAATCACCAGGCGATTCTAGGCAGTAGCTGGTGGTGTGCATCACCAGGAGTGACAGTACTTTACTCTGATGCTGAACAAAAACGCTGATAGTATTTCCTCTGTATCTGTACACAAAAATTATGTACAATAAAACATCTCAATGGCGAAAAACACCACACGGCGACTGTTGATGGCCAGGTCCTAGTTTTCTATCACACTTTCATTCACCATCAACATCGAAAGCATAAGATCAGAGTTCGACACCTACACTTCGCTGCCATAAGACATTTCATTAAATCGAACGGTTGGCAGTATAGTANGCCGTCCCCCTGGATGGGGACCCCGAAACGGGTCATACCAAGGTTTGGAGACACAGTCATAGATGATCCGGTAGCGCCCTCAATGACACTGGTACATCCAAGCTATCGCCTACAATGCATAGCTCACTCCCCAATCCCTCTAACTTGAAAGTGCACCGACAGACCTGCATTTGCGCACCAAATTATCATCTCCCGCCTCCAATACGAAGCTACCTACTGTGCCTTCCAAAATCATCGGTGGAGGAAATCGTGGCTACAACCACCGTACGACAAAGACGCGATTATCACAGCTGATAATGACGATGATGATACGAGGACAAACGCTTTACCGACCCTTATGCCCGTAAATTGATGGGTTTCTTGAGCGCTTTCTTCCGGACTACCTGAGTCTTTGGTCTTTTCCGAAGACCTGACTACCGTGAGGGGCGTGACAGCAGCCACTCGCTTTTCTCGACCTTTCGGTGGGAGATCTGAAGGTGTAAATGACGGTCATTTTGTTCTGGAGTATCAATTCAAATTAGTAAGGCTTGGACATTTTTAATAC